ATATCGAATTTCAACAGCCAACGGATCTTTTATGTGTACACGGGATCTCGGGTTTTCGTATCATTCAAATAATTATACGATGTCTCGTGCCAGGCACTTCACTACTAACAAGGGGAGAGGGCACGCTGGAATATCCTTATGATCTTTCTCGGTCAACGCAGGGGTCGAGTACGAGACCTCCAGGCTAGCGACCCAACGTCTTACTCACTGAGCCATGGTGGCTCCAGGTTGCATAGAATTTATATTTAGATATATACTTACGGTACATCAGTGATATTTGTAGTAACAGTAGCCGTCTGATCTCCTGTTTGTCGTTTCTGACGTCCACCCACAGATTTACAGTTGGGACTGAATACTACAAAGGTAATAACATTACCACAGTTCGGTTGACTACAAACATCACGATATACACCCGCTATGTCCAGTATCAGATTAAGTATCAACCTTTTCAGCAGGCTTTCCAGTTGGTTCAAATTACCACAACTACCAAGAATAAACGTGGTCGTCATGGTGTATGTCGTCCTTACAACTTCTGTAGGTTGTGGGGCTATAAATACAAAAAAAATAAACAATAAGAAATGAAATGAAATGAGGTTTAATGTCTGCTCCTATACTGGGCTAATGAAGACGTGCATACGCCATACAGTGTGCTATGAGCGACATTTGGTCCGGACAGTGGTGCTACGGCCTACTCTTATATCGAATTCCTACTGCCAAGCGTACTATAACGTGCCCACCAATATGTACACGGCACCTCGGTTTTTCGTCGCATTCGAACGACTATACTTTTTCTCTTACCAGGCCCTCCGTCCTGCATCACTGACAAGGATGAACCACGGCGGAAAATTCAGATGAACTTCCATAAACAATAAGAGAATGCAGTGTAAATGACATGGGGTTTAACGTCTTACTTTTCAAACACGGGTTTACATCCCAACCTGTCCAACCTCGTGGGTTTTCTCCGGGTCTCCCAAACCGCTAAAGACCGCTAGACGCCAGCGAATTATTGAAATAAAATTGCACCATATCACGAAATGACACCACCACCCTCTCTCATCTCTCTTTGCTGCTATAACTGTCCTCATATGAAATCTAGAAGCAAGCCTTACCTTCTGCTCGAATGCAGTTCGAACTACCTACATCAATGGTAGTGAAGCCTGATGGACATTGAACACAGGAAGGTGTACTGCTGTTTTTATAGAAACCCAAGGCACACATGGTACAGTTGTTATTTTGTAAATCATATTCAGACCCATCGGTACAAGCAACTGTAAAACAAAGTTGAACGATTGAATGATTTAAATAGTCTATCATGGTTTAGTTAAAGATTAGATTTTCTCACCTAGATACGCTGCCTAATCTCGTCGGTTTTCTCCTGCAACTTTGGTTACTAGGCTAGGTACCCAGCCCAATGCCGCCGTCTTTCTCCCGTGACTCCGGGTTCGGTACCCTATTAATGTCGCCGTGTTTACCGGGTATTCTGGTGTTTGAGTTATGTATCCATATTTATCTATCTGCTCCTTCTTGTTTAAAACCCATATTTATATATGTAATATACAATATAACACCTAACGATGCTTAATTACGAGAAATCAACTTGCTTATGAATGAATGAATGAACATGAATTGAAATGGAGTTTCTACTGTTCTGCTCCGACTGGTCTAATGAAGATTGGCATACCACATACATTGTACTACAATGGACAATTTGCTCGGATATCTAGGGATATTTTACTTGTACATCAATGTGTACACCGGACCTGTATTTATCTACGGTAAACATAGAAGCCTTTATATATACTATTCAAAAAAAGTAGGGGATATTTGATTTTGGGGGCATAATACTAAAATATGCAAATGACTACGAAAAAAGTCACTATAGAACCTAACAGAAGAAACATTTCCAGTTACATGTGACGCCCAAACGCACCAATAGCTACCGCATGGAATGCAGGTGATGCTTGGGATCATCATGGGGGTCCAACCCAAGATTTGCACGACTCTGACTTTGAATGTTACAGTCATTGTGGCATTGAATTCCAGGGTGGAAACATCAGTTTAATTGTTTTAGTGACCAGAAAACAAATTTTGATATGCGTCGGCTTACCCAAAATGAAAGGTTACGTGCCCTTGGCATGCTACAGATCGGCACAACACAGGCGGTTGTGGCGCGGACGATGAATGTTTCTCAGTCTGTCATAAGCAGGCTATGGTCCAGATACCGTGATACACAATCTGTACAGGACAGACCACGCTCAGGTCGACCAAGGGCGACAACTCAAGCCCAGGATCGATTTATCCGTACCTTGGCCTTGAGAAATCGTGTCATCACAGAAAATCAGATCAGCGCTCGTCTTCAAACAGACACTGGTGTGAGAGTGAGTGGCCAGACGATTCGGAATCGACTGCATAGGGATCACCTTCGCGCCCGACGTCCTCGCGTGATCCCTTGTTTGAGAGATCATCACATTCAGGCAAGACGTCGTTGGTGTAGGGATCGTCAACACTGGGATAATCGACGCTGGAGCAATGATATGTTTTCAGATGAGTCAAGGTTCACTGTTGATTTTTTGGACAGACGTAGGAGGGTGTGGCGTCGTCGAAACGAGCGCTTCCAAGACGTTAACGTCATCAGACATGATCGATTTGGGGGTGGTTCTGTTATGGTGTGGGGAGGCATCACTGTTGCTGGAAGAACGGCTTTACATGTTGTTGCAGGGCGTGTTACAGGCCAGTACTACCGGGACAACATCTTGGCAGTCCATGTTGTGCCGTTCGCACGACGTCATGGCCGCCGTTTCATCTTCCAGGATGACAACGCAAGATGTTACAGGGCCAGGATCGTTACAGGTTACCTCCAACAACAGAACATCACCACATTACCTTGGCCAGCACTGAGTCCCCGACCTCCCCCCAATCGAGCATGTCTGGGACATGCTTGGACAGAGGTTACGTCAACGTCAACAACGTCCTGTCAATGTCCAAGAACTTGCTGCTGCGTTGCAACAGGAATGGGACAATCTGGACCAAAATGACCTTAGACGTCTCATTAGGAGTATGCCACGTCGGATCAATGCTTGTTTGGCAAACAGAGGAGGATTTACCCGTTACTGACTTGGTTGTGATGCTGTGGTAACTTTGCTGTTTGACCCCGGGTATCATTTTACCCTTATAATGGTCAGTCTGTGCCTTACTTAGTCTAACGATCATTTGGAATAAATCGATGAATGTGAACTTCATTTCATTTTGTCATTTGTTTCTTCGTCAGTTTCATTAGGTGACTTTAATAACACTTAAAAATCAAATATCCCCTACTTTTTTTGAATAGTATATATATACTAACCAACACATAATTTTTCCATATCGACGCCTTCTTCTAAAGTTGTTTTACCAGTAGGACATTGAATACAAGCTGTTTGTGAGGTCTGATTTTGATAAGATCCAAGAGCACATTTCTTACACCCGCCTGCTTCCCTGAAAGAACCTTTATTACAATCATCTGAAAAAAAGAAAATAAATCATTTTTAATTTCTCTTGCATAAGTAAAAAAAACAACGAAAATGAAATGGGGTTTAAGGTCCTACTGTTCTATTGATATGATATTTATTTCTTGTGGTTTGTCTTATCCACAGGTTTATCTTATTGGTAGTTATACCTATTATAAAAAAAACATTTCAAAATAAAGCAAGGACTCACACACAGTCTAATAATTTCATGCAACACAAATAAATATTTGTTTTGTCTACAGTGTCAGTACTGAAATCAATTGGATAGGAGGAGAGATGGATAGAATGGGAGGGGGAGAGATGGGGAGAATGGGAGGAGGAGAGATGGAGAGAATGGGAGATGGAGAGATGGAGAGAATGGGAGGAGGAGAGATGGATAGAATGGGAGGGGGAGAGATGGGGAGAATGGGAGATGGAGAGATGGAGAGAATGGGAGATGGAGAGATGGAGAGAATGGGAGATGGAGAGATGGAGAGAATGGGAGGAGGAGAGATGGAGAGGATGGGAGATGGAGGGAATGGGAGCGGAAGAGATGGAGAGAATGGGAGGAGGAGAGATGGGGAGAATGGGAGGGGGAGAGATGGAGAGAATGGGAGATGGAGGGAATGGGAGCGGAAGAGATGGAGAGAATGGGAGGGGGAGAGATGGGGAGAATGGGAGGGGGAGAGATGGAGAGAATGGGAGATGGAGGGAATGGGAGCGGAAGAGATGGAGAGAATGGGAGGGGGAGAGATGGAGAGAATGGGAGGAGGAGAGATGGAGAGAATGGGAGATGGAGGGAATGGGAGCGGGAGAGATGGAGAGAATGGGAGGGGGAGAGATGGAGAGAATGGGAGGGGGAGAGATGGAGAGAATGGGAGGAGGAGAGATGGAGAGAATGGGAGGAGGAGAGAATGGGAGGGGGAGAGATGGGGAGAATGGGAGGAGGAGAGAATGGGAGATGGAGAGATGGAGAGAATGGGAGGAGGAGAGATGGAGAGAATGGGAGGAGGAGAGATGGGGAGAATGGGAGGAGGGGAGAGATGGAGAGAATGGGAGGAGGAGAGATGGAGAGAATGGGAGGAGGAGAGATGGGGAGAATGGGAGGGGGAGAGATGGAGAGAATGGGAGATGGAGGGAATGGGAGCGGAAGAGATGGAGAGAATGGGAGGGGGAGAGATGGAGAGAATGGGAGGAGGAGAGATGGAGAGAATGGGAGATGGAGGGAATGGGAGCAGGAGAGATGGAGAGAATGGGAGGAGGAGAGAATGGGAGGGGGAGAGATGGGGAGAATGGGAGGAGGAGAGAATGGGAGATGGAGAGATGGAGAGAATGGGAGGAGGAGAGATGGAGAGAATGGGAGGAGGAGAGGTGGAGAGAATGGGAGGGGGAGAGATGGAGAGAATGGGAGGGGGGGAGATGGAGAGAATGGGAGGAGGAGAGAATGGGAGGGGGAGAGATGGAGAGAATGGGAGGAGGGGAGATGGAGAGAATGGGAGATGGAGAGAATGGGAGATGGAGGGAATGGGAGCGGGAGAGATGGAGAGAATGGGAGGAGGAGAGATGGAGAGGATGGGAGGAGGGGAGATGGAGAGAATGGGGGGGGAGATGGAGAGAATGGGAGGAGGGGAGAGATGGAGAGGATGGGAGGAGGGGAGAGATGGAGAGAATGGGAGGGGGAGAGATGGAGAGAATGGGAGGGGGAGAGATGGAGAGAATGGGAGGGGGAGAGATGGAGAGAATGGGAGGAGGAGAGAGATGGAGAGAATGGGAGGAGGGGAGATGGAGAGAATGGGAGGAGGGGAGATGGAGAGAATGGGAGGAGGGGAGATGGAGAGAATGGGAGGAGGGGAGAGATGGAGAGAATGGGAGGAGGGGAGAGATGGAGAGAATGGGAGGAGGAGAGATGGAGAGAATGGGAGGAGGAGAGATGGAGAGAATGGGAGGAGGGGAGAGATGGAGAGAATGGGAGGGGGAGAGATGGAGAGAATGGGAGGAGGGGAGAGATGGAGAGAATGGGAGGAGGAGAGATGGAGAGAATGGGAGGAGGGGAGATGGAGAGAATGGGAGGAGGGGAGATGGAGAGAATGGGAGGAGGGGAGATGGAGAGAATGGGAGGAGGGGAGAGATGGAGAGGATAGGAGGAGGGGAGAGATGGAGAGAATGGGAGGGGGAGAGATGGAGAGAATGGGAGGGGGAGAGATGGAGAGAATGGGAGGAGGAGAGATGGAGAGAATGGGGGGAGGGGGAGAGATGGAGAGAATGGGAGGAGGGGAGATGGAATGAATGGGAGGAAGAGAGATGGAGAGGATGGGAGGAGGGGAGATGGAGAGAATGGGGGGAGGGGGAGAGATGGAGAGAATGGGAGGAGGGGAGATGGAGAGAATGGGAGGAGGAGAGATGGAGAGAATGGGAGGAGGAGAGAATGGGAGGGGGAGAGATGGAGAGAATGGGAGGGGGAGAGATGGAGAGAATGGGAGGAAGAGAGATGGAGAGGATGGGAGGGGGAGAGATGGAGAGAATGGGAGGAGGGGAGATGGAGAGAATGGGGGGAGGGGGAGAGATGGAGAGAATGGGAGGAGGGGAGATGGAGAGAATGGGAGGAGGAGAGAATGGGAGGGGGAGAGATGGAGAGAGAGAGAGATATGGAGAGAGAGAGATATGGAGAGACGGTGTTTAACGTCCACTTGACACAAACTAGAAAATTTCGGGAATAACCTATAGTTCAATATTTATTTAACAATTCGCGTGTGCGTATGGGTCTTTACCAGTGGGTGGAAACTTGAGAACACGGAGAAAACTCATACCCTTTGTCACCACGCCATTTGACTCAACGAAAGACATGATTATGCAACGCACATGCGTTAACCATTCGGCCATCCAACCTCTCAAGTAAATGAAGTCAAATTTAGCGGAAAATCAAATTCTCAGAATGCCCGGTATCACTCATTCCGAGGAAAGAAAAGGTGTTTATTGGTTATCTAATGTTTATAGTTACCTAGACTACAATCAGCAACACTGGTCGACTTCTCAGATCTTGTTGTTTTACCTGTAGGACAGTCTTGACATTTATCGTGGAGACCAACTAATCCGGAATATTGACCAAGAGGGCAGGAAGAACAGATCATACCATTCAGATATTGACCAGCTTGACAAATTGCTGAAATATAAATAAAGATCGTAACAAGTGAACACTATATTAATTAAACTATAACAACCCCTACATACAACTATTGTTACTTCACTCAACGTTTCAAGAAGTCGAAGGTATCTTTTCAACGTCAAAATACAGGATATGGAAAAACAAGCTGATATTTTATTTTTTAATCTGTGTGCCATGCAATTAAAGATTTTTACAACCCAATGGCTGTGACCTAGCGCCATGTACAGGGAGAGTCTGACCAACTATTGACACGATGGGTGTAGCCTAGAATCTTTCATAGAGGGTCTGACGAACTATTGACACAATGGGTGTGGCCTAGAATCTTTCATAGAGGGTCTGACCAACTATTGTCACAATGGAAGTGACTTAGAGTCATACATTGAGAGGATCTGACCAACTATTGTCACAATGGGTGTGGCCTAGAACGATACACAGAGAAAGACTGACCAAATATTGTCACAATGGGCGTGGCCTAGAGCGATATGTAGAGAAGTGTAGCCAACTATTATCTCAGTTGTGATAAGGTAATAACATGGATGTTTTGTACGATTCAATTTAATATTCGAATATAGTTCCATCTTCTGATCTATAGGTTAGGGAACCATACATAATAAGAACTTACGTAGACATTCTGAGATACTTGTTGATCTATTATTACGGGTTGTTTGACCTTGAGGACAGGCGATACATTCAGTCTGACCTGTAGAGTTCTGATAAAAACCAACCCGACAATCATAACACACATCTCGCTCTTTCTCCGGATTACGTAGTTGACCCACTGGACACAAAACTTTTATATGAAATAAAATATTACAATTTAATCAGAATTACCATAGCTGGTAATCAACATAGTTAGCATAGCTGACTATCACCATACCATAGCTGGTAATCAACATAGTTAGCATAGCTGACTATCACCATACCATAGCTGGTAATCAACATAATAAACATAGCTGACTATCACCATACCATAGCTGGTAATCAACATAATAAACATAGCTGACTATCACCATACCATAGCTGGTAATCAACATAATAAACATAGCTGACTATCATCATACCATAGCTGGTAATCAACATAATAAACATAGCTGACTATCATCATAACATAGTTGGTAATCAAAATAATAATAAACGTGACTGGCTATCACCATGATAAACATGTATGGCTATCACTATAATAACATTCGACCACCGCTCTATAATACATAGTCATTAACCAACATAAATATAATCAAAGATGTGTGTGCGTGTGTGTGTGTGTGGGGGGGGGGGGTCTGTTCCCCCATCACACTTCGCCGCCGCAACATGCCCCCACATATGTGGTATCATATGAATCAGCAATGATACCGTGGAATTTGAGTCCGGGTTACATGGTTATATTATAATAAGTCATTGCATTGAGTCCGGGATATATTGATATATTATAATAAGTCATCGCATTGAAATAAAAACTTACTTTTACACATTTCTATTGAATTAGCTGCTGTATTTGGTGTTGTAAAATTCTCCCCACAGAAAATACAAGATGTTTTAAAACTGTCTGGTTGATAAAATCCTGTATCACATGGCGAGCACTGATTGGATGAATTACGGTAATTACCAGCTGTACATATAACTATTAAATAACAAACAAACATCATTATGACATCTACATGTATAGATAAAAATATGTGATTATAAATAAAAATATGGGATGTATAGATAAATATATGGCATCTATAAATAAAAATATGGGATGTTTCGATAAAAATACGCCCACATTTTGCAAGAGATGGACAGAGAACGAGCTAAAAAAAATAATGTTATTTTTGTACAATCAGGTGCCATAATTCAGGGCTTTACGCTCCGATATAAGCGCGAGATCTTTGGGTTATAAACATATATTTTAAGTTTCATTAAAACTAAATAAAAAATTGACTTATAGAGGTTCCACAACCTTGGTATTACATACTTTTACACTGTTTGCGTACAAGGAGGGTCCACAAGCTAAATTGGGATTTTTTCCACAAGCTAAATCGGGATTTTTTCGTAAAATCAGAGGCCATAATCCCTGAAGTTACAGACCGATATGCGCAAGTAACGAAAGGATCCGAGATCGTTGGGTTATAAACATAAATTTAAAGCTTAATCGAACGGGACATTAACATTTGCCCTACCCCCCCCCCCCCCCCAAATCCTCCGATCTGATGTACTGGGTATACCATAAACGAAGTATAAATTTATAAATTATATAAGGGCTAACTTACTAAGGCAGTCACTTTCTAACATTGATCCTTCGGCAGTTGTATTATAGTTGGTAGAACAGTCAATACATTGAGTCATACCCGGGTTAGACTGGTACGTAGCATATTCACACTTTTTACACATATTGTTAGCATCTCTATATTCACCCGCAGCACAATAAACTATAAAACAAAATGGAGAAAAAATATAATCTTAGATGATCTGCGGGGCCCCAGGTTATTTCACGTATGAGGCCTCTTACTACCCCCCCACCCACCCTCACGAAGATACAAGTGTTCTTTCAACACAATTTCGGGTAGCTGGATTTTGAAGCCATAGGGTTCAACATGTAGGTAGACCCAAATGATTTCTTGTAAAATATTGGAGATAAGTTTTATTATTTGACTCCACATCTCTTTAATTACTGGTATTTGAATTAAGAATATATCCACGTATTTGTAAAATGAAAAACCCGTCTAATATTAAAATCATGTCCTTTTTGATAAAGGGAAAGTCGGAATATAACGATCTTTGAAAAAGATGGCATGACGTCAGGCAAACATGACCCAGACAACTTTCAGCACTACAGATGATGGTGCAGGCCTACGTTACGTCGGATAATATTTCTATTTCAAAACAGTTGATTAAAATCGTTCGTCAATCATAAAGATATTCAAATATCTACTACAAATTGCAACGTGATCAACGAGCATATTATGTTATAATATGACAATTCCTAGATAGCATAGCATGATAATTTGATATATTGTTCCTAGATAACATAGCATGATAGTCTGATTTATTAGTCCTAGATAACATAGCATGATAGTCTGATTTATTGTTCCTAGATAACATAGCATGATAGTCTGATTTATTGTTCCTAGATAACATAGCATGATAGTCTGATTTATTGTTCCTAGATAACATAGCATGATAATTTGTTACATGGCTCCCAATATGGGGAATCAAAGATGTGAAAACACGAGCTCCCAGCAATTGTTGAAAATTATTAGATCGTAGACGTAGTAATTTTTTCTAAAATGAAAATAAGATCGCAGATATATTGTTCCCAGTAATTTTTTAAAATAAAAAAAATTAGATTGTAGGTATACTGACTCCCAGTAAATTGTCTAAAATGATAAGTATCTCGTAGTGTATTGTTGCAAAATTACATAATATAATTTAAACAAACAGCTTTTACTTACCTAAAGAACAATTGGCTAGATCAGTTGCGCCTGTAGAGACGGTAGTTCTACCACTAGTACAGTTCTTACACGTGGTTTGTCCTTTCATATCTGTATATGTGCCCTGAGAACAGACCTCACACGAACTAGATACAGCAGAATAAAACAAACCCAGTTCACAGAATGCTGAAATATATGCAGAACGATGGAGGTCATAGGTCAATGATGAATAGGAGAACGATAGAGTTAATAGGTCGACGATGAATAGGGGAATCGTAGAGTCAACGATAAAGGTTAAACCAACAAATACTAGATAAAAGGTGAAGGTCATAGTCAAAGATGAATAGGTCAGGTTAAACCAACAAATATAAGATGGATGTTGGAGGTCATAGGTCAACGATGAACAGAGCTTAAAACAGCTACACCAAGGAATATCACTGTTTTCTGCAACGATATGTTTTTAAGTTTAGAATGGAATGGGTTTTAACGTCCTACTTTTCTGAACCAATCGGGCTAAAGAAGACAGACATACTTCACAGCTAAAACTGTATTAACAAAAACGTAACATATTGAAGAATCATTTCTTCTGAAGTTTGGAATCTTTGCTGTAACAGCCAAATAATGGGATTTTAGAACAGATTCGACAGAGGTAAGATGGAAACTAGCATGGATATGTAGTTTCACAATAAATGCATATTTGCTTACAAGACGTCTATTTTAAAATAACACCAATTTTATTCTGAACTCAACTACTTGCCTGTCCTACCTCGTGGGTTTACTTCGGGTCCCCTAGCTTCCCCATACTGCTTAAGATCCCTACGTACAACCGAATTATGGAAATAAAATTGGATGATATGATGCTGAGTGACCGTTTAACCCCCATCTCTCTCTGTCTCTGTCTCTCTCTCCCTCTCTCTCTCTCTCCTTTAC